TAAATTAACTTAAAAATATTTCTAAATTAATTAATTTATATTAACTATTTTAACAAAATAAAATATATCTCAAAATATTACCTACAAAAAGTTAATAATTAACTTAACTAATAAAATCTTAACTACCTGAAGAGTTAAACAATATGATACAATTAATACCGAAATAACACAACAGTACATCAGACTCTCTAAACCCTTTTATACTCCACTGTAACCCAAATTACAATTTTTCCTATCCCTATTAATAATCCCGATACTTCTACTAAATTTTTCCACAAAAAAAAAATTCCACAGAACCCCTGTGACCTTAATAACAATCCCTGTACTCTACCGATTTTTTTCAAAAAAAGAAAATTCCACAGAACCCCTGTGCCTTTAAAATATAAATTCAATACCACAGTTAATCCATTGTGCCCTTAACAAATGTTAAGTTTTTCCTTTTTATTTTTTATACCTTAAAAAAAATTATATATAATATAAAAAATAAAACTTACCTATTTTTTTGGTCACGGCACCAACTATTACGTTGCGCCGTTACTTAATGACCTTCCTGACGAATTGAACCCCTTTCAGGAATAAATTTATTTTACTTTTATTTTTCTTAAAACAAATTGACACCGAAACTTTAATTAGTCTATTTATTTTTTTCTTAAACAAATAAAATATTTTTAACAAAATTATAAAAATTAAAAATTATTCCAAAAATTAAAATATATTTTCAATTACTAATTATATTTTTTAACTAAAAAAAATATCCTCGACTCACCATGAGTCTTCTCTTTCTTAAAACAAATAATTCCGCGTTAACAAAAATATAAAATAATTTCACGACAAAAAAAATAAACACCAAAAATAATAATATTATGACAAAGATATGTATGGAAAATATTGATATTGAAGAATTTTGTTTAATCTTTTTTAAGTTAAACTATTAAATTATATTTATGAACAATTTAATTCTAACAATATTTATACATTATAGAACCTTGAATTCGCAGGGAAGTATATAAATGCTGTATTTTTTAATCTTCACCGTAAATTCACGCTAACTGTGAATTTAGGGTATGAAAGTAGTGACGATAACGCCTGACCATTCTTTAATTTTAACCGTTTGCTATATAATATATCAGATTTGAGAAACTATTAATTTTATATAGATACATATTATCGATGAACAGCCGAGAGGGAGACTGATGATGTTGTTAAACGGCTCGATGTGCGAAGATTTTAAAAAAAGGGTAAAATATTTTATCCAGAAGAATATTACTTAAGCCTGAAGATTTTGTTCATAGATGGCACAAAGATTTGGACATTTATTAGCAAAATCTCGAGGTTTGGGCAATATTTTTCTGGCTAAAATAGTAAGTTAGGCATAAAATAGAGCCGTTTAATAACACTGCTGAAAAGTATGGTAAAATTTAGTTTAGACTAAACTAGGCTAAGTTAAAATTGGCATAGCTTTTATATGAAGGGGTGGGAGTGCTTACGTCATAAGTAAAGATTAAGGGAGGGGTAGGAGGAACTGGCTATGATGAGATTGAGAGATAGATATAATTAGCTATAGGGTTTTATGGACACCATATAGTTAAAATTTTAGCGCCACCATTGTAGGGATCAACAAAACCGTTCCTAATAGCGCTATTAAACGGCTCACCCAATATGTTAGCCAAAAAATATTATGCAAGCCTGGATATTTTTGCTCATATGTGGCAGAAAAGTTCGGACATTTATTTACGAAATTTCAGCTCAATATTATTTTAACTAAAAACCAAAATTTAAAATCGAGCCGTTTAACAAAACTAGTTCCAAAGAATTTAAGTTTTTTAAAAAATGTTTAAAACATGATCGAGCCATCTTGGGCGCAAACCTTGCAATAATTTTTGAATTTAATGCAATAAAATTATATATAATTTATCTCTACACATTATTTATTAAAAAAAGGGGAAGGGGTTACGCCATTGTAATTAGCTTGTGTTCCATGCTGACTTATTCGTTAACAAAAAAATATTTGAAAATTATAATATAGATAATTTAATCCATTACTAGTCAAGGTTAAAACTACCAGAATAAAATTGAACTTTCTTAAAAAATAAATATTATATAACTGATATCGTGAAGCGGGTTTTTTTAAGATAATTCGAAAACGCAATAAAAACCAAATACGAGTTTTAAAAAAAAATACTAAATTTTTTATGACATTAAAAAACTATTATAATATTCGAATGAAATTTAGGCATGAATAAGTTAATTGGTATAAAAAAATACAATATTTATATAATTTTGAAAAATTTTGGGTGGAAGAAAGTATTTTGCAAGATTGCAATAAATTGCATATATACTCTTTACCTGGTTAATATTTTACATAAAATAATATTCATTTCAAGATCTCAATTTTACATGCACACGTGAGATGTATGTTTCAATAATTTCATTATCAGCATATTTCTGGCGGATATTTATATAATATTCTATTTACAATTATAACAAATAAAATAACAATATTTTTTGAAAGAGAACCACTCTACATTGCAATCTTCAAAATTATTAAAACTTTTATAACCCTGTTTACATATAATACACACATCTTTTATTAATTTTTTATTAATGTTTATTTTTTATTAATAATAAATTTACTCAAAATTTATCTAATTCTTATATAACATCATTTGATTTTATTATCAGGCTAAATATAATCTGATAACTAAAATGTTCATATCCAATAAAATGAATTAATTTGAATCATATTATATTGTCAATTAAAATAGATATATATATAAATATTTGTTTGTTAGATATAATTCGTTTTAAATATATTGATATTCAGGCTAAAATTTATATGCTAAAATGTTCATATCTAATAGAATGTATTAATTTGAATTATATTATATTGTCAATTAAAAAATATATATATATATTAAAATTTATATATGCAATATATATAATATCTGTAACAATATATAATATATTATCACAATATGCATATGAAGATTTTAGTTGTAAGATATTTGTTTAGGTCTGACATTATATTAAAATTGAAATGTATTTATGAAAAATCAATCACATTAATAAATGTAATATAATAATTATTATTATATTACATTTATAAAATATTATATTTTAACCTGTAATAAATGGTATTTTTCTTAATGAGATATCATTTTCATACAGTTTTATAGTTTCTTAATAATATTTTTTTAATAAAAATTTTACTATTTTGAATTTCACATATATATTAGGGTACCATAATTATATAATAAAAATTGACTGATCACGCCGACTAGCCACGATTCTACTTACCTCAATGGTGGTAATAATACTAATTTGATCTTAACATATGCATTATATATCAATCTGAAATTTTCCCAAATATTAAAAAAGATATTTAACTTTCATATAATGTTCATTTTGTCATGTTTAAACTTTTAGTTTTTTAATACAACCTAATAATATTAAGTGAAAATATTGTAATTTTTACATCAAAAACATGTCATAATGGATAAAAATTATAGCGAAATATTATAAATTATTTTCATCCCCAATTATGGATATTAGAATTCTATTTTAGAACTAAATTTCAATTTTTAATTTACTGGTTTTAAAATAAAATCCTTTGAACCGACAAGCCCCTTGTGCCGACTAGCCCTGGTGTCCCCTACTTATATTGTCAATTTCTTTCACTTTTTTCAAAAAGTAGCTCAAGATAGTTAAAATTTTATTCATTATTTAACTTTTTCAAAGTAATTTACATATTTTTTTTTAAAATTGGTCCTTTATAAAAAATGATGTAGTTTTTGTTGCAATTTCGCATCTCTCAAAAAATATCACATATTACAAATTTAAGAATCACCATAATTTGTAATAAATAATAATCTGATTTGTTATAAAACGTTTTTGTTTCTCATAAAATTGTTTAATTTTCTTTAATTATTGTAAAAATAACATATTGATATAATTTAAATAAAAGCAAATACAAGTTAAACAATTTTATAAGAAAGTTGTTACATATATGTATGGAAATGTTTTACAATTACTTTCATCAAGAAAAAAATACTTATAAATAAATAGGTTTTTGCTCAGGGTTTGCTTGGGGTTCGTGCTCATAGCAGGCCCAAGCACCAAATTTGGTGAGTAGTGAAGTGAGGGAAATATTTTATATATCAATGTCAGCCAAATTTTTTAATGTAACTTAATTTTTAGGCATTTTTTTCGAGAGATGAGGTAAAATTAAAGTGAACAAAAAGAATTTTTTTCATATAATTTATTAGAGGTAATAATTTTTTATGACAACAAAACCCAGTAAATGTAATGAGTTGATTGATGAATATTTATTTTATCAATTTATTTCTCGTGCTTAGGCTACCTTCATAGTAGGACCTGATCCGGAAACAGCTGACATATTTTTAAATTCTGTTCATGGGGTCAATTTTTCTTTATTTATTTAATTTTTTTAACTCCATTTATGATAATAATCGAAGAATTATTGATTTTAATTTTAAAAAATTATTCTCATAAACTGATTTTAAAAATTGACCAGCTATTAAATTGTGCTGGATTAAATCCCACTGTGAATCTAGTCTTAGTTTGAAGAAAATTAAAAAATTGTAAAAAGAGGCTTGCTAAATAATCCTATATAATGCAGAAAATTGATTGATCAACATTCTTAAAACCTCATAAATGTGTTCGATTGTGCTAAAATAGGTTGGATAAAAGTTCCTAAATCAAAACCTTGTTATGTTACGCTAACACGTTATCAATTTTTATTAAATGTATCATGTTTAATCGATTAAAATACTTAAGAACCGATTTATTTTCTAATTGTTAATTCTATATATTCCACTCGTATATTCATACCCTTCTACCATAAGGATTGAGAATTGAATAAGTATTAAATTTGTCAAATCATAATTTCTTTACATTAGCAGACGATTTAAAAAAAATTTATATTCTGAAAACTTTATGTTATAAAATAATCAACGATTTCATTTCAATCATTCATTTTATTTCTCTACCTCTCCATAAATGCCGAGATTATCAACAAAATATTTAAAGTCACGAAACATTATAATTCTTGAAATATTTTTTATAATAGACACTTCATCTTTTCATAACACCGAAATCTTTAACACATTCAGTAGGTATTTCTGGCCATTTTTCGCAAATCAAATCCAGAATTTCTGCTTTGACATCCCCTTGGATTACTATCTCATCCGTAGCAGTCACTGATGCTCCACAAGAAAAACGGGAGGCAAAACATTTTGACGCTGCCTTTTTAATAAATAGTTAATAATAATCATCATTTATAAAAATTGTATATAATATTATAAAAATGGCCATTTCGTGGTAAATAATAAATGCCATAAATTTAAATCTATTTTAGTAAATTTAAAGTTATAAAACTTTAAGGAAACATAAGTTTAATCAGAAATGTTTTGCTACGCATTTAAGTAAAATTTGAATCTTTCTTAAAAAAATTAAAGATATCTATTTAAAAATTATTCTAATCTTCTAAGAAATGAAATTTTTATCATATTTTACATTGCTGGGACCTTAATATAAAAAAAAAATTAATCACAATCCAAGAGGAATGTGATTAGAAAATCTAATTACAATTTTTAATTTTATTATACTTTACAATAAAAATACTTGACAGTGCTTACATTGTAAAATAATTTTAGGTGTGAAAGTAAAGAAAATGGCACTTTATTATATCATATATTTTTAATTTAAATAAAATATGGTTAAGTTATTGTTTATGTTTTTCTCAGTAATTTTTTTTATCTATTTAATTATTAATACCAGGTATATATGGTATCCCCTGATACCAAACAGTATTAGTAATTGTGTTAGAGGTCTGCAATGCCTGGCTGATGGGTCAAGTAATGTTTTTATTTGGGTCAGGCTAGGCAAAAAACCACTTCCCATATTTGTTTATTTTGGTGTTCAGTCACCCACATATATTTAGGGTTAGGCCTTGTATTTAAAAAAAACCAAGCCAAGTAACCTTAGTAAAAAAAGAAACAGGTTGGGCCGAGTAAAAATTTGTCCAGGCCATGCTGGGGCAAAAAATTCCAGCCAGGCTAAAAGCTAAATTCCAACAGGGGTGGGCCTAAAAATTTTATATTTGCAGACCTCTAATGTGTATTAATCCTTTGACGGGATCTAATTTGGCACCCTCAACTTTTTTATTTTTAAGCAATTTTAACATATGTTGATTCAATTTGACATCATAATATAAATATATATATATAATATATTGGCGGTGTCGATATTAAGTATTAGATTAAGGCCATTTAAAAGAAACTGATCATATAATTTTATGTTTTATACATAATTTATAAAAATAAATTAATAAAAGGAACAAAAATTTTAATTATTTTTAATAGCTAAAAATTATAAACCATTGCTTTATGTCTAGGTTGTGATATAGTACAGCCTCATGCCTGCATCAAATGCAAATCACCCATTGATTCAAAGGGTAGACATGGCTTAAATTGTATTTTTAGTCAAAGGCGACATCAATGCCACTCAGCTGTAAACTATATAATAAATAGAAGCTTAACAGCTGCACACATTCCAAACAATCTTGAAGCATCAAATTTATCTCAAGTAGATGGTTTAAGACCTGATGGTATGACAACCATACCTTGGGCTCTCGGCAAATCACTCATATGGGACTGCACGTGTGTCTCATCATTCCCTTCAAACATAAATTTCAATTTAATAACACAGGCAGAAATTAAAAAGACAAACAAATACAAAAATTTTAAAAACTTCATATTCACTCCAGTAGTGACTTCTACTAACGGGCATTTTTTGCCTTCAACATTTATGTTTTTAAAAAATTTGGGTAATAAAATACGACTTTTGACAAATGAACCCAGATAATTCCTTTTTATTCGACAAAAAATTCAAATAGAAATTTTTAGACACAATTATGGTTCCTTTTTGGGGACTCAATTATAGAATTTTATTTTTAATTATATAATTATAAATTATAATTTTTTAATTATGTTTTATGTAAATTTAAAAATAAATAGAATATAGTCAAAAATTATATATTATTTTTGTAATATTATCTGCAACATGAAAAGGATTTAAATAAACAAATCTAACAAGTCACATTTAGCTAAAATGTTAAATAGTTCGATTTAGCCTATTTTTAGAAATGCATAGCTCAAGATTTTAGCCAAAAATAAATTACCCAAGCTTGAAAATCTTGTCCACACATGACTGAAAGGTTTGGGTATCTATTATCAAAATTTGAGGCTTAGGTAATAATATTTTGGCTGACTTGTTTTAAACTTAAAAAAATTGCCTAACTTGAGTCATTTAACACTATATTGGGCCATAAACATTGATCATAATTTAAAGATAGATTAATTTTTGGAGAATTAAAAAATAAAATACACTTAATTATTATGAAAGAGAATTAAAAAATAAAATACACTTAATTATTATGAAAGTTAGTTGAGTTTCTTGTGAATAGTGAATATTAATTTTTCATGAAATCAGCTCAAATATATATGGCAAATAAAATCTACATATATCAGAGACATGCAGGCCCAGATGAGCTGTATTTTAATTTTTTTTAAATATACCAGGGTCAAGCCTAAAAATTTTTATAAAAAAATATCCAGGCCGGGCCATATATTTTAAAAACAAATATTTGAAATATATTTTAAAAAAAGGGCCAGGCCTGAAATTTTTTTTTTAAAAAAAAGCCAGGCTGGGCAAATGGTACCTCTGCTGGTCTCTGATATAAATATTGAATCAGATAATATCAGAGAAAAATATGTAGATTGGTACAGCCCTACTTATTTTGTTTTGTTGATTTTTTAATTTAACATCATTTTTGAGTTATAATTCTGGCCAAATTATAAAGATTTCATTTAGATTTTGGAATCAGAATCTGACAATTTATTATTATGTTAGCATTTATATTCCAAACAATATTCAATTTGTATTTTTGCAGATTCCAATTAGTGTCATTATATTTTCATATATACACTATAAAATAAACTTGATATAAAAAATTTTAAGCATAGGAAGTATATTAACTACATATATAATAAAAAGATTTGTTTCTTTCTAAAAAAAAGTTTGCTTTAAAGGGTGAAAAAGAAGTAGTATATGCATATATAGGTCTGCAAAGGGATTTTTTTTATAACCCAAGCCCAAATTATAAAAAAATTTTGTTCAAGCCTGACCCGAGCTTGTTGTATTTGTTGATATATAATTGACATTTATAGACATTTTATCAATTGATTTCACATAAAAGATAAAGAACAATAATTATTCTTTGTTCTTTTAGAATTTATCATGTGATTTTGATATGGAATAAAAGATTGTTCGGGAATCATTAGAAGTTGTAATTTATAAGATATATAATTTTTTTTATATATTATAATAAATTCAATTTTTTTTCAACCCAAACCCCACTAATTTTTTTTTTAATTTTAGTGTGAATATTATAATATCCAAAAACAATTAAAAAATTATATGTATTGCCTTAAATAAAAGTTTATTCAAGTCATAATATAATCATTATTTATATTAAATATATATAAATAATGTGCATAATATAATGAACATATTATAAAGGAATATCATTATCAATTGTATCACATAGTAAATAATTGTGATATTTAAATAATGAGTCAAGTAGTGAAAGCATGATTTATGTTGATTTAAAAAACCAGCCCGTTTAAGATTATAACCAAAATAACATTATGTAAGTTTAAATATTTTGTTAACAGCTGGCAGAAATGCTTGGACATCTATTTGCCAAATCTTGATCCTTACATAATATTATTTTAACTAAAATCTTAATCTGTCCATTTTTTAAAATCGACCAAAATTTTTTAGCAACACTAAAGTCGAGTTTGTCAGGCTTTAAACAAGTTCTCCTATCTTCTAAGGCCCTAGTAGCCACTGAAGGTGCTCTTTCACTGGTACATGAGGAAGCAGGAATTTTATCAAATCAAGTAAATTGGGAAAGTTCTTTTGATAAGTCTTCCACCAATTTAAGATTTGGTAAATGATTTTTTTTATATCCAAAATATATGGTCAAAACAAATTGGTATCTTTATTTTAAATTCTTGTATATACATATATACTATTTTAGAATTATTAAATTTAATTTCTACAAGTATTCAATTAGATTGACCTTTTAAATATAAATACGTTATTTTATTGTAATTCAAATAATGTTGAATATTATAACCTTTTATAAAATATAACAATTTTAAATATTGAAAATTTGAGGCTATTTAATTAAATAGTTATTAGATAAATATATTTTAATTAATCTGATAGAATATAATGTAAATAAAGTATGTAATAATAACACAAAAATATAATATTGGTAAAAGGATGTTACGTAAAATAATAATTGAAAATGATATGTTATTCTGATTGATATTTTAATCGAAGTGTGTTAGATAAAAAATAACATGATATTAAATTGACATTATGAATTAAAATGATTATTTAGGATATTTATTTATTGGGTCCTTTAGGTTGGACACCTCTTACAACCCAACCCTAAACCAAAACCCAACCTGAGCTCAGGCTATGGATAACCCGTGCAGACCTCTATTTGCATATCTGCTCATGATAAAAAATATTTTTTATTAAACGATAATTTCTGTGTATAAGTGCATATTTAATTTATAAAGAATGAAAACAAGCATTGTAAATTAAGAATAAAAACAAGCATCTAAAAATAAAATAATTATAAGATAGACCTAAACAATCAACAAATAATGGAATATATGAATTGGATAGTATAGTTAAGTATTGTATTGGCAAAAAATCTTAAATCACAGATCTCTACTATTTATACAATCAATATCAATGCAATCAGAATAGATTTAATTATCTTTATGATATATTTTGCTAATAACTAAAAAAATAATTTTATTTTAAGCTTAATAAATTTATCATTGAATATAATGACTAACTTTCATATCTACTCCAAAATCTTCAAGCCCTGTAACAACAGTTACTGATTTCTTTTTACCTCTTGGTGCATTAAATACCTTGATAAATGAATTTGAGGGATTAATTTTGCCTTTATTACCCAACTTAGCTGCACTATTCATTCCTTTCCCTCCTCTGGTTTGTCTTTTCCTGGTTTCATCACTTTCATTGAGGACAAGTGCTTCTAAATTAATATCAGGTGTATCTTTAATTAAAGGCATGTATAAGTCTTGATAAACTTTTGGGAAATTTTTATTTAACCATTTTTGACACTGGTCAAAGGTAGGTGAATATTGACAATATTCATAAGGCATAGAACATATACCACAATATTGAACTTGTAGAGGATATTTCCCATGTGTTTTATTTTTAGTTTGTATAGGGACTTCATTCTTATCAATGATATCTAAAGCCGATTCCTCCACTTCATCATTAAAATCTGTACTTTGATTTAATTTTATTGCCTCATCAATTGAATCATTGTCATCAGTAATATTTTCATCAGGTGTTGCTTGTAAAAATTCTGTTTCTAATGCTTTTTCTGTATTATCTGAAGGTTGATTTTTGGTAATATGTACTTTCTGCTGTTTGTTAAGATTTTTCAATTTATTCTTCTGTTGCTGAGAGGGCATCAAAGAAAATTTTGAGTCATAGTCAAAAAAACTTTTTATTTCAGATATCAATGAATGTATATATAATTCCACATTTTTTTAAAATATAAATGAATGTCTATTTGATGCTCCATATAATTTATTATTGAAAATGGCTATTCTTACACGTTAGGCGAAAATAGACCAATTTATTTAAAACTTCGAGTTCAAATCGAATCACATTTATCAATTATTTTTTACTCTTTTCTTTCTGAAACCATGGTCTATATAACAAGTGTGGGTAGTAACTGTAAAGGTAATTTCAAATATATATTATTAAGAATAAAGATAATAGGGTTTATTAAACACAACAAAAGCATTTATCGTTTTTTAAATTAGTCCACATAATATAATTGTAAACTCTCAGTGGAAAAAACTTTTCGAGCTCCCTGAGACAGTCGCGTCACTAGGGAGGGGGGCGCGCAGGGGCTCGAGCCCCCTAATAAATTTGAATAGCCTCCTGAAGCAAAAAAATTTTTTTTAATATCCCCTTGAACTAAAAATAAAATTTTTTAATTGCCCCCTTAACGATTTCTTTTATAATTCTATTGAGGAATATATAGATTTAATTTTATTATTTAAAAATTAATAAGACAATCTAAATTTTTAATGAATATTATTTTAATTATTAGAAAATATTAATACATATTAAATTATATTTTCACTATGTCAGCTTACAATCAAATTCTGTGTTAAAAATATATCAATATCATTCACTAAATATTAATTTAGCATTAACCGTTGTAGCTTAATTGACTTTTATTATTTAAATTATTATATAACCCTAATTAAATAAATATAATTATTTATTAATTGATAATTAAAAAATTTATAATTAGCCGAGTTCAAATCACTAATCATCTAAATTATTGATTTTTAAATTTAATTATTATGTCTCTTCCTAAAATTATTTTCAACAAGGTCCAAATCCATATAAGTATAGGAGATTTATTTATAATAACAAAAAGTAAGTAGACATATAGTTTATATCCTCTATAATATATAACTATTTATAAAGTATTAGGTAAAATGCCACTTTTACAGACGTATTTGGCAGCTATATAATATATTACAGTTAATATTTTTAAAATATTACTAATAAATGCTTTTGATAATAAATACAAGTAACATTTGCATTCAGTTATTTAATGCCATCTATTTATTTAAAATTTTATAAATATAAAAATTAAATCTCTTATTATTCATACCACAATGGATGTAATAAATTAAATATCTATTCTTCACTTTTTTTACGTGTTTTTAGAAAAGCTATTTAATTTTCTTTTTTGAAAAACATTGAGTTAAATTTTTAATACGAATATATTTTTGATATTTTACAAACTACTATTATTTTAAGTTAAAATATACTAACTAGAGGTGGTGCGAGAATATCAATGATATATCATTGGACAATATATAAATTTCTTAATTGTTTCATCATATCATACTGGTCCTTATTTTATAGTTAGAAAATTTTATTTTTAATATGGCATCCTTGCCGTGTAAATAACTCAAGGCTTCAATATATTTGCATTTTCTTCCAAAGATTTTTAGTGTTTTTATTTTATTAATTTATCCAACATAATAAATTCTGATATTAGTTTACATCGTGAGTGTCATGGCTATGATTGTAAATTAACCAGCATAATATTTGTGTTTCTATGTAATTTAAGATTATTATTACAGCCGCCGAGAGCATATGATTGCATATTTTAGATAAACAATAATGGTCAACTGTGCAGTCTTTTATATACCATTAAAAATGAAAGATAATCTTTTAGAAATTTAATATCTAATAATTTTCTCGATTACTTATCTAGTTTCCATCATGTCATATAAGAGGAAGCTCTAACCACCATATAGTTTTATGATTTGGATTGGTCGTTTATACTCTCTTCTTCGAGAATTGTTGATTTGGTTTAGGTAATAAATTTATCCTTATTAGTCCATTCTATAAAACATTGTCTAAAATGACAGAGAGTTATATAAGTTTCATGACCTTTTGTCATTTTAACTTGTTAAGAATTATATAGCCTTATGTGGTTTTTCCATTATCAACCTTTTTTTATCACTTGCAATTCTTTAGACGCAAAATTTTTTTATATTAGCAATCACTGTTAAGAATAGAGTTTGAATTAAAAAATATTATTTTTAGAAATGTCTTGTATTGTTTTGATTATTTATATGCTAGATTATTTTGTATGCAAAATATAATATATGACAAAATATGGAATTCAGGATAATTGTTTAAAATTAGCAAATTTTTAAAAAGTATAAAATATTAATATAAAACCCGGCCCAAGGCCCGCAAAATGGGGAGTAAGGGGGGCGAAGCCCCCCATAAATTTTGTTTTAACTGAGCCCCCTGAGATTGTAAAGGGTAATGACACCCTAATGCTAACTCATCAGAGATAAAAGCAATTTGCTTCTATATATCTTAAAATATGTAGGGAGTAAGCTTTTAATGGGCAGAAAATCAAAATATTTCTGAGGACAGGGATATATCGGACATGTTTTTTCTAAATTATTTTTTTTTATCTTGTAAACACTGGCTTAAAAATATCCAATATTAGAAGAAGAATTTCATGAATGAAATAAGGTCGATACTTAATTTATTCACAAGACTATTCCTAATTCAAAGTCCTCTAAACTCCTTCAAGCTAATTTGGTCAAGGTCCAGAATGCATATTAACGATGTATGTTGACTAAGAGCGTTCATCTTTTATCCTGCTCTTAAATTTCAATGATGTAATTGCATTTATCCTGGAATAATTGACCAAAGAATTATTAGCATGGGTTGCTTCAACCCAGACAAGATTTTGGATTGTATTTGATTATTGTTTATTAAGTAGCTTTCTGTATCGCCATCTGCAGACCATTGGGCTTTGCACAAACAATTAATTAATTAGGATAGGGCATTGTGATTTCAGGAAACCATAAAAGAGGAAAAAATGTTAGTTTGATCACCACCAATATTTTTTTACATGGGTTACCTATCACCCACGGTCCAAAAATATTATAATTTAGTAAATGTTATAACTATTAAAAAAAAATGTAAATATATAAAAAAAATGGTACAAAAATAATAAATATGTAATAATTCATCATTCATTTGCTTATTTTAAACATGAATAGGCATTATTTAGGCCAAGTCACCTTAAGTAATGAGGAGGGGAAGGAATATGGAGTTTAAACCATTTTCCTAAGGGCTAATCCCTTGACATTTTATATAAACGATTATGCCCAACTCACTCTTGTACTAATGAATACATTTGCTATGTTTCAATAATATCCTTGAATCTTACTCTTAATGAGATAAAAAGATTTATCCAAATTATCGGACCAAGTTGTTATATTTTCAACTCAATTAATATATTATTTTTTTTAAAAAAATCCATCATTGATATTTATAATTCATATATTATGAAATTTCTAAAAAAAAATTGAACTGATACCACATCTATGTATAAAATATATAATTAAAATAATGTTTATTCGATTTTAATAATGCATATACAATAAATATAATTTAATGATTATAAATAGTTGTTAGATTTTAATAATAAAACATTCTCTAAATTTTTATTATTAAAACAAACAAATTTATCTGTTAGAACATTTTAAGCCGCACTAAACTCCTTCTACTAGGGCACTCGAGGGCAGAGTGGTTGTTATATTTAATGAATAAATTCTAATCAATAAATATATTAATATCTCGACACTCATTTTAAAAAAAAATCATTTAAAATTTGATGATTGTCAAACTTATACCATTATTTATATTATCAAGGGGTGCCCTAAAATTCTATAATTGAATTATTTGATTTCAGATATTGTCTAGAAATATTAACCTATAGATTATGATAAATGAATATAAATAAATATACATGACAATATAAAATTTTGTTATTACCCATTGCGTGAAAAAAAAATTGTCTCTGTTGTTTTTGTAATGAAATAATCTCATATAATTAATTTAATATGGTATACTTACAATTATCCCCAACTATGCCCTCCCCTAACCCTCCCACTTAAATTCTACACAAAATAATTTGGCACCACCAAAGGGAAAAGTCTATATACTCCCCTATACGTTTAAACTTAATGAATTGCCCTATTTTTAATATATATTAATTATATCGTTAGCAAATATATTAACAATTATAGATTCTTTTTATAAGTAATATTTTAAAGAGGAAGTCACATATCCTTTCGGATCATGACCCATATTTTGAAGCCAGGGTATACATAACAGGTTTATTAACCATCTACGCGAAAAATTTCACACTTTTCAGCTGCAATTTTCTCCACATTAAATAAAAAAATATAAAATAAATTATTATAAATACCAAATTAATTGAGTCAATTTATAACCTTCATCCATCAAAAACATAAGCAAAATTATAACTATAGGCGTGGAATATATATATAAACAGTGATTGGTAATGATCAACTCAATTCTTTGTTACTATCCATAAAATAAATAATAGCCTCGAGCATATATAAAGTTGAATTAAACGAATGATTTAAGATTTAATTTAGCTTATAAATGAAATGCAACGTTTTGGTCAAAAAAATAAAAAGTCCGATCAAAAGAGAAAAAGGACCAATCAAGAAAGGAAGGTGCTCCGATAAATAGAGAAAATGGTTCGATCAAATAAGGAAAAGTGTCAATCCAAAAAGAAAAAGAGACAATCAAAAAATTAAAAAGTTTCGAACGAAAAATATAAGCCTCGATCAAATAAAGGTAAAGTCTCAAAGAAATGGAAAATTTTTAATCAAAAAAGAGAAATTTTATTTTAAAAAAATAAAATAGTTAGAAATGTCATTTCTTTTTAACTTTTAATTATTCCTTTTCTTTCCAACTTTTTAAGTTTCCTTAATTTTATGTAAAAGTAACGTCGAAGAAAGTAAAGATCTTCCTATTTTTAAGGAATTTGTTCGTTACTTGTATCAAAGGTTAATGAGTAACGCATTTCTTTTTTGGGGGATTTAAATTTTTTCAAAATATGGGGATAATATATTTTATTATTATATTATATATTTTTGTTATATATTACATTTAAACCCAGTTTTCAATTCAGATCAACTACCATCTTCATTTCAATTTTATTTATTAAATTTTTGTTGTTGGATTTTATAAAGTCAAGATTGTTAATCTAATTAATATTAAGTAATCTAGCAAGGTAAATTTAATTTATATTCTCTAAAATAAATTTTTTTTCGATATTTAATATATTTAACGATATTTAATATATTAAATAAATTTTGTCTATATTTATATATATCAAATAATAATTAAATTTTTTGAAAGGTAATATATACAATTATGAAGGCACAAAAAAAAGCAGTGTACAAAAAAAAAATTTGGGAGAAAATAATAATAATTTTTAGTAAAAATAAATACAAAATTGATTAATAATGTAAATTAATTTAAAAAACATATGACATAAACTTATTATCATCTTTTTGTTATAAAAAACTTTTTTTTATTGGATTTTTTGTTTAAGAGATAGGTACTCGTTTTTGACCCCTGTCCTTAATGAAATTCTTCTACCCAATTGATTTAAGAACTTTAGGGATTGGGGACCGGGGTTTCCCACAACGCTAAAAGATTAAATATAAAAGAATTAGGGAGGAATCTATATTTATTAAGCTTATTGACTTCTTGAAGTTCCAAAGGGTCGGTATTTCCATTAGCCGGAAAGGGGATAACACACGAGACATCCCAGGCAAGTCTTTTGCCGCCGTGCCAAGACTTCAAAGATATGCCGTAGGGAGGCTTATCATCCGCATTTAGGAGACCTAATGGCTCCAAACTATTGGGGAATCCGGCCGAAATAAAAGCCTTGCCGTAGCTATTTTTTTCTGCTTTTAGAATTAATATTCATAACAAAGGAAACACAAACAACAACAACTAAATAAACTATTAATACCTCTTATAGATATTATCTATAAAAAAATTAAACACATAATTTTAACGATTATATTTTACTTATTTATTTATCCGGGCCATTGTTGGAATTAATTAATCATCACTATATTTACTAACTACCTCATATGTATGATCACTCTTTAAAGTGGTAGTTATCCCTCTATAAATAAACGGGTCCTGATAGTATGGTGAATTACTACAAACTGTGGATGCTAATCCAATGCCCTGGATATGCACTCTATTTTTTTTAAATGTCTGTAATATGTTGGCATGAATGTGTTTTTGGGCAATGCGTCATTTTTCCAACTTTAAATAATTATTTGAGCGCATTTTTTTAAAATGTAATAATCTCATTTTATCGGGAATGTATTTCAGCATGTTTAGAATAATTAACGTATGAATTGTAGACAATTTTTGTAGTTAACCTTTGAATCATTCATAATTTATATAAAAAAATCTACGGAAAAACGAATATAAATTTTTTTAAGTTCAAAAGTTCATAGTAAAATTGTTTGAAATTTATAGGATAGGTATTCCAAACACGATAAAATATATTTCCGGTAAAATCAGATTTTTAAATTTAAAAAAATATACGTTTAAAAAAATGATTCAAAGTTGAAAAAATAACACATTGCCGCTAACATATATATATTTCACAACAATTACGATATATAAGAAACAAGAATAGATATTAATGGCTAATAATTTCCCGTCTCTTGCATTTCGGAGCATAGGTTTCCATATTTTAAATGTGTCTTGGCAATCCCTTTGGTTATTCTTTTTTTCTTCTATTCTCAATGCTCATCGTAAAATTAATCAATTACTCTTCATTATCAGGATTTTGAATTCTGGCAAAATTTTTCCATATTATTGGATTGAATTCAGATATGGGCTATAGTAACAATCGGGGCCTTGTACTATGGAGGTGGGGGGGGGGGGTGGTTCATGACGACGCTACCGTCATTTGAATAGACCGTGTTGAACCAAAATATAAACTGGATATTAAACATTTTATATATTTTGACTCATTTCACCAAAATACATAATGTATTTTGTTCCTATTTTGCCATAATGTAAAAAAAAAGTTTTATAAAAATCTAAAAAAATATATTTAAAAAAAAATAAATTTCATTGATGAAAACTTCTAGTACGATATCAAAAACCTAAAATGAGAACCAATAACAAATGTTTGTTCTAATTATTATTCATTCTATATATTCAAAACAATTTGTTGTAAAGAAATCAGATGTTATATAGATATAAAGTCTCAAATCATGTGTTAATGAACCTTATTATTGTTATCGAAGTCAATTCATACCATTTATAGAATATAAAATTTTATGAAGATAATGCAATTTTTTTTAGGAAGTAGGAAAAATTTCCAAATCCTTGTCCGTTATAGTGAAATCCAATAAATAATAATTATTTTTTGTATATAATATTTTATTCGTAAATTCTCTACATTATAATACTAAACGTTTTACGTGATATTATTTAAAAATAAATTAATATTATTTATGTGTAAAAAAAGAAGATTAAAATGATTGAAAATATTGAAAGTATTCTAATCTCAAAATTATTGTGACGTGTAAACATTACAGAAAAGTGCGAAATTCAGTCAAGTAATTTGTATATAATATGATATAAATATTTTTGCAATTTATTTTTGTATAAAGTGTATTTACTTTCATCGCATAGTGTAGTGCCTTATATATTTCTTTATAATAATTGTGATAAAGAATATATCTAAAATGTGTTTTGCAAATTAAATTTATTTAACAAAAAATCGAAATAATTCAAAATTATAGATGATGGACAGATGACTAAAAAATAACTCGAAATATATATTTATATATTTTTTGAATTAAGACTCTATTACCATACCAATTATTCTAACATCAACATTTTTTTTCTTACTTAAAATTTAAAAAAAAACAAACTAATATACAAAGAGGGAGGAAGTGTCAGCTTTAATATGTTAGGTAATTATTTCCATTATATTTCGTTGTTTTAATCATTGTCCATTACAACGTTCCCGATAACAGTTCCTTCAACCACGTTCTTTGGATCAACCGCAGTTCCTGGCTTGGAATGATGCAATTGTGACGTTTCGACGATCAACTTAATTGATTTTTTATGCAAAGTAACAAAACATAATATTATCAGTTCATATGGTTTGCCAAATGAAATAGTAAATAAAATATATTTCCAGCCCCTGAATACAATAAACCATAATGAAGGTGAAATCGTAAAACCCTTCTGTCGCAGTTAGGTAATTAAAACAAATTAAATGATAAATATTTGTCATAATGTAATGTCAATCAATTATTATTATATTTTAAAAAATAATATTATTTATGAAATACTTAAATATTATATTAATAATGAATTTTTTTTTATGAAAATTATTGTAAATGATTTTATATCTGATAAAAATTGAAGAATAAAAAGTATTCCTGCCATAACTAAAGGAATATATTCTGATAAATTAAGCATTCAGCAATTTATACTAAAATAAAAGAAGAGTCTAAGAAACTATCCATTATGACAAGTCGAGGAAGGCCTTAAATTAACGTTAAAGCATTTTCTTTGGGTTTATTTAGATTTTACGATTAGGGTAAGAGCTTGTATAATTAAGATTATAAAACAGTAGGTTTTAAATTAACTCAATTCAATGATGGTTAGGTCCACTCAAGATAAAGAAAATAAAATAATTAATATTTAAACTTTTTCGCGTGTGGGATCTAATATAACGGTTCCTATATTCTTTCTATTGTGCAATTTGTGCATCGCTTCTGGAAGCTTTGTAACAGAAATTAATTTTTTTGATTAATTATATTTTTTTAGCTTTATAGTAAAAAAAAATATATTTATATATATATACTCTCGAAAAATAGAAATTAAATCGGTATTTGTTTTTTTTTAAACGAATGCAAATAATATGTTACTCGATTAGATTCTCGAGTTATTCAAGAAAAGGGAGAGATGTGTCCAAAAAGTATAAGTTTTAAAATCTTCAAGTTCTAATTTAAAGAGACATTTAATTCAAATCTCAGCCGACTTAAAAAAATTTTCAAAAATACCTATTTTTTAATATTTTTTTAGCTAAACATTCTTTAAAATTACCTTTTAATTTAGTGGTATAAAAAAAATATCAAAATTTAAGGGGCTATTTTTTCAGGGGGTTCGAGCCTCTGTCCCTCCCGTCTAGTGGCGGTATTGATTTGATTGTAATATTTATTATTTTATATAATATAACTATAAGTAACCCGTTAATAATTTATCTTATTATGTTGTATTTTATAGGCTTATTAAATTATTATAATAGATGTATGAAGTAGTGTTTTAAAGTGCTCAATTTGAACCGATTAAGAAATTTTTTTTTTAATAAATAAAAAAATTTATTAATTTTAAAAATGAAAAAATATATGGTTATTAATTTTTATTAAATTAAATATTAAATGAAATTTTTTTAAAAAATTTATTAATAAAGTTTTGAACGAATGTGAATGCGTTCAGTGGCCAGTGGCCACGTTTCTTTTTTTTAAAGGTGAACGTTGAACGCGTTTGATTTTTAGGTAAGCTTACAGAGCTAGAATTCATCAATAAGCTTAATATATATAATATGTTCTATTTTGCCAATGATGATTTGACCATGTTTTAAGATTAAATTAAAATTCAAGATATGATATATGAGCGAAAACCCATAATAAATGGACCAAGCCGAGCATTTGCAAATCTCTAATTTCTATTAACTTTCCTTTCGATGCACAGCTAAAAGTGTTATGAATAAGATAAAATTAGTCTAGACTACACTTCCAGGGTTTCAGCATCAGTGCTCAGGGAGATAAAGAGCACCGGCTTTATCCATATTTTAAGCTTGAATGAGATTTAATCAAACACTAATATTTAAAAAAAAAAAGAATAGCTGCTGAGTGTTAATTATGGAACCATCAGCTGTTTCAGTTTCCCATATTCAATCTGCCAAAAATTTAAAAATTTTTCAATGAGTTGATGCTACAATATGATAAAAATATTTTTAATGTAATAGACACCTTTGATCATTTTTTTCACATAAAGACTAAAGATTTTACCATTTTGATAATTTTCCAAATATTAAAAAAACTATATTTGTAAAATATAATACTACAATTCTTTGGTGCACATTGGTAGAGCTCTTATTCGGTGGCTCTCTTAAAATGTTTATTTATCCCTAATATAAGGGAATGTCTCTTCCTTTATAAAAACTTTAAATTTTTGTATCGAAATTGTATTGATTTTTTTAATTACATTAGCCAAAATTTTAGGATATATATCGGAATCGGTTTCGATATACTTTTTAAAAATGTCATTAAAAGTCTGTTTAGCATCATAAAAATACATTTTTGCTTTGTTTAAACTGATTTTGAACATAGTCATGGTTAATGTAATTATTGGCTAAATAGTATTTTTTTTCAAATAGAGCAACATGACAAAATAAATGATATACTATACCATTTCATTGTTTTAGCGATTAGAATTCAACCTTTAAAAATGTAAATGACAGTTATATTGGAGCAAATAACATTAATTGAATGAGATGGTATACTATTTTATTGCTTTGAACGATTTTGATAATATTTACGCGAGGATTTGAATGATTTTGATTTAGGCGAGCATTCCATTTATTAAAAGAAATATGAAAATACATTTAGGAAAAAAATAAATAGTCAACCATGTTTATTGAATATAATCTATTTAAAAGATCATAAAAAAATCCTCAAAATGAAGAGCGGTTTGATCGGACTTATTCTCGACGTGCCCAAAATGATTAATAGATATATGTGTGTAAATTGTAATAAAATGGCATTATAATTTTTTTTAAATAAATGTCTTTGTCAAATTTATATTTGCTTATACGTTTATGATATCTTTAATCTGAACATTTTTATATTATGTAAAAAATAGAGTTTTATTGAATCTTAAGTGTATGGCAGCCATTTTCGGACAAGGTTTTATATACCCCGTGTAATGTCTTATGTACCATGCATCTATGTCCCATGTAAATATGTCCCATTTACCCGTCGTTTTAACTTGAAAGATAAAACATCTATCAAAGTTTGACTTGATATGTATACAATAAATAAGTTAATTAACTACCGTTTGAGGAGATATTAGTCGTTATTAGGAATTGAATACATTTAAATTTAAAAAAAAATAACTTCGTCAAATGCCCATATAGAATCGATTATCGGTTTAATCTTGTGATGATTGTACCATTCAATCAGCTGTTTCATGATACCTCTCAAAAGCACTATGGGTCGATCCCCTTGTTCTGCGGGAAACGCAAAAAATAACTTTCTAAAGTTGATACCTTATGTTATATAAAAATTATCCGTATAAAATTTATAAATACGTCGAAAATATGTGGGGTTTAATTTATTTAACGACCGTTCAAATCTTGAAAATTGGCATGATAGCTTTTAAATTTCTTAAGCCAGAAATGGCATCCAAAAGATTATCAACTTATAATTTGAAGCTAATTATAATGTAAGTAATGAGGTTAATATTTTTCAAAGTTATATTGAAATATAGATTTTCTAGGCTAAATAGTGTTCATTTTCATAAAAATAGTTGGGACGAAGTTTCCCTTTTTTTGAAAAAAAGGTTAGATGTTTAAAAAAAAACTATACATACATGTATATAAAAATAACCCGTGAGAGACAGATTATCTTCCATAAATTTGGTCGGGTTAATTTTATCGACGTGCCACCAGGATTTTGCGAAGTTTAAGATACTTTTACCTTCAGGTGTCACCAAGCATGAAGATCCTTTAATCGGTACATAATAATGTTTAAAATTTCGAATTAATGAGAAAATTCAGAATAAAAGTAGCTAAAATAAGCGAAATATTAGCCAATTCGAAAGCTCGATAATAGAGTTATTATTCCATGGCACTAGTTTAGATACATATTTATAATATAATAAGTAAGAAATAAGTTTTTTGCTATTATAAATAAAATTAATGTCAGAACTTACCATACAGTATATATTTTCCAAGCGGTGCTAATAATGCGAATCCTTTGTTAAAATCTTCGCCATATCTGTTATCCAGCACGAGGTCTAAACCCTCTGGATACATCCTTTAAAAAAAAAAGAAATTTTAATAATAAAAATATTAGCTATTTATTAAAATATAAGTTTCGTCTCAATTTTCTTTCTTAATTCAAAATAGTGCATTATATCCAGAAAGTTGAGGCAACCATTTTTTGGTTTTTTTTTTAAATTATAGATTCTGACAAAACATATAGTACCAAAATACGCGGTGCAACAAAAATCATATTCTATTCAGACAGGCTATTTAGAATTTTAAAAGAGAAATAAAACGATCTATGACGAAGCCATATTGTTTGAAAAATATTATTTTAACAATCGAGATTAGCTTGTTAATAGATAAGATATATATATGCTAAAATATACCCGAATTTTCTTAATGACAATCTAATCTACATTATGAACCAAGTCAATGAATTTAAGACAAGGTTATTTCACATGACTGTAAAATAATAATTTTACTTATAAATATAATATTTAGTTATTGAATTTTAATAATTTCGGGGTTTTCATTGATTTCTTTCCCTCTTTCGACCTACTTATCCAATTCTAACTTACCTGAGTTTTATATGAAGTTTTTTTTAAAAAAACTAACGCACATACAAAATTTTGAGAACAGGGTATTCCTGAATAGATAATTATTTAAAATTAATAAATATATATAGTCTCCAAGCCTATTAGAAATGTTTATACATTCATTTATTTTTCCTTACTGCTCTATGGTAATTTGTATATTTTTATTCGTTTAAGCCCATTTTTAGACCGCTAATAAATCGGCTAACTCGAGATACTAGCCGAATCACTTTGGTCTCGGTGTTCTTCTTAAAAATATAGTGGCCCAACCCTTAATGTTAACGGATTTTCACCGGCGTGCGCCCGTAGAATGAGTCGAATCAACCGACATTTAGCCATTACCCAACTATACTGGTCACACAATATGACTAAAGCATTTATATCATAATTTTTCTTATCTTATACATTATGTATATGGTATAAATTCAATTTAAATCATAAAATGGAAATTATAAACACTGTTTGGAATCAAAGACGTATTCAGCGCTGAGATCAAAGACTACTGTAGCCAAATCCTTGAGTTTTTCGTGTTTGTGGGCTGATGCTGTACCAAGTAAGATTACCTCTTCTACAACATTCTTGCATATTTGGGCTACAGCGATTCCCTTAGTGGCGAATACATTTACAAATATGAATCTAAGTATTAGGCCTCATTTATATTAAACGCGATGTTAAAGCATTGCGTTATTTAACGCAATCGAAATCACAGCTCGTTAATAATTTTTGAAAAATACGTCTCAACATATGTTTTTCACATTTTAACGTTAACATCATAAATCTCCATATTTATAAATTGTAAATAAACATATTTATAGGCTTGATTTTGTTGATAACGCTGCATTAAATAATGCAACACTTAATTATAAGGCTTTTAACTATAAATAAGGCCTTAGACTAGACTATAGACTATTGAAAGTGTAAGTTGAAGATAATAAGCGTCATGTATTTGTCTTGACGCCAATTAGAAAATTTCTAAAAATGAGTAGGTAAAGATATATCCACATTCCAAAGTTATTTAAATAATAGAAAGAAAAAATTGTATCGATAAAAAACATTTCTTAAATATAAAAGATTTAACTTGGCAAAACTCGAAATTTGTCTTAATATGATAATATTATAACTAGGAAGATAATTAATAATTTATAAATATAATACTTACGATAGAACCTCCCAGAGAATGTGCAAAGATTTTCATACCCTGTCGTATATTTCCCACGTGGAATAACATGAGATGCGCCATAGTATAAGCCAATGGGAAAGCTGCTCCTTCCTCATAACTCATATTTTTAGGCATTTTAAAGGCGTACACTGATGGAACTGTTACAACCTCAGCCCAAGCTTGGTAATGGGTTAGAACCATAACCATATCTCCTACCTGTTGCAAAATATAGGTTATTTATATCATAATTAGGTAGATTTCAAAAATGATTTCATTAACTTTATTGATAAAATTGTCAATATACTTTACATTTGTCTAATTTTTCTTTTAAAATTTATAACTTTTTATTATATATAATATAAGAACAAGTTAAAATACTATAAAAATTAAAAAAAACTATATAATTAAAAATACAATTTTATAATTGGAGTTCCCAAAAAGGAACCATTATTATGTATAAAAATTCTCTAGTTTCGTTTGTTAAAAGCCGTATTACCTAGATTTTTTAAAAACTTATGAGTTAATGGCGAAAAATAGCCGTTTGTGGAAGTCACTTCTGGGGTGAAATGTAAGTTGTTAAAATTTTTGTATTTGATAATCTTTTTTAGTTACTACCATAAAAACTTTTTTACACCCTTAATACAAAATTTCCAGACAATCATTTTGACGAATTCTTCCTCCAATTCAGTGCATCTTCTTTAATCGAATGACAGACTAGGCGATAATGAATGAGTCGAACCTTAAAGTCCATCCAAGGTGTAACCATTTGGTATACTCTTATTAGATCAAATTTGAGAGTAATCATAGGCCTAAAACTTGGATGCGGTATCGTTTTTTTCACACCTGTACCTGTAGTTAATTTACTGGTTCTCAACTCTAAAACTTTAAAGGGAAAAATGGTCTTAACTGTAGCCAAAGAAAATACCAGCTTCATGTTGCTATAACCCGTTTAACCAGCCAAACCTTCTCTGTGGCAATAAGCCCAATCAACAAGAATCTTTTAATCTTTAAATCACCTGGGATTAGGGTAGACCGGGGCAAAACGATTTTTGGGGTTTAACGCGAATAACTTTTTAACCCTTTGATATAAATTTGGTGTGAAGATATATTTTTAAATCTAATTTCTTACCTATCTTCATCTTTTGAAAAACCCTCCCGATTTGACATATTTTGCCAAATAACTATTTTTTACCCAAAAATTATAAAAATCACCCTCTAGTTTATTTTGCTTTTAGCAAAATATATTAAAGCTCGTAATTTAAAAATTTGACAAATTCCTCAAAGTCATAGATATAAAATAAATTTTATCGCAAGCTTATAGCTAAACTACAAGCCACGCAATAACGATTTGTATAAAATATATCATCTTGGTGTAAAGTTGTTATTGGTAAAAAGGTTAAAATGTTTCTTCTGATTAAAGCTGTTAAAAGCTAATTTTTAAATATTAATCTACACCATATAAAAAAAGTATTTATCAGCAAAAAGAAACGTTAATAAATAGTTTGCGTTATTTGGAATAATTTTAAAAATAGTCGCAAATAGGAAGAATAATTGAAATGCACCGAAAACGGACACAATCAAAAAGTGCTATTTTTGATTAATTTGGTTATATTCCTGTATTGTATTTAATAATTTATACTTAAAAGTAATTACAAAAATTGCAATATTTTGTTCAAATAAACCAATAAAGTTATGTTCAATTTTATTTTAACTACTTAACCCTGATGCTAAATCCTTTTACCCTGGGTATGGGGCAAATTAGTGAACTTGAGACACTTCACTTAATAAATCCTAGTTCTTTATTACAGGTAAAGAGCTACACTTTTTTTAACTTGTGGATGAGAGATTTTGCTCCATATTTGTATTTGTTTCAAAATTTTATAGTAAAAATGTAAAATACCAATCGTTTTATCCTGACTTCCCCTACATGATGTTATCATCATTTCCCTTAAATATTAATTCAGTTCCATGAACACAAGTGGAGAATTGAAAAATTGAATGAATATAAAAATTTTAAAAATTTATTTTAGCCCCATTGTAACATCAACAAACGACCATTTTTCGCCAGTCACTTCAAAGTTTTTAAAAACATTAGGTCACAAAATTAAACACTTTTACAAACGAGGTTAGGATTTTTTAAACTTACTTTTTTTTTCTTTTCCTTTTCTCTTCTTTTCTTCCCTTCCCTTAACTTCCCTTTTTTCCTTTCCTTTCCTTTCCTTTCCTTTCCTTTCCTTTCCTTTCCTTTCCTTTCCTTTCCTTTCCTTTCCTTTCCTTTCCTTTCCTTTCCTTTCCTTTCCTTTCCTTTCCTTTCCTTTCCTTTCCTTTCCTTTCCTTTCCTTTCCTTTCCTTTCCTTTCCTTTCCTTTCCTTTCCTTTCCTTTCCTTTCCTTTCCTTTCCTTTCCTTTCTTTATAGACAAAATAAGTATACGGTTCTTCTTTTAGAACACACTTTTATAGTTTTTATAGTTTATAATAATTATATATTGTTTTAAAAATTAAACGTTCATTTTAAAGAGACAATTTCAATTTTAACGAATAAAAGGGCTCACAATAAATAAAAAGTTGATAAATTCACTGATTCTAGGTTAGAAAGATTATGGAATAAAATCGAAGTATGTAAAAATATGCTTATAAAATTAGTGTGTATATATAATTACAGCGAATCCAGATACTTGATCTCCCATAGCAACAATATCTCCTGAACATTCGAATCCAGGGGTAAAAGGGGTCTTGGGCAATCCTTCTGTAGCCCCTTGTTGAATCACCAAATCTTGAAAAGAGACTCCGCTTAAAAAAAATTTTTTGAAAAAAAGCCATTTAGTTTTGACTAAAAATGGAATCCACTTTTTACTACATTCAGATTCATCAAAATTAAATTTATTTCTTTTAATCTTCCCCTTTTTATTTTCCCTTCTCATATCTCTCCCTCTTGGATTAGATATGTTATGGTTGGTTGAACTACAAGCCTCCACCCAGGCTATCCACATTCTTTAACATTTTAAATTAGGGTATTATACACTTGAAATATATTTATCATTTCAAAAATAAAATATATTATGAAATATGGTATAAAAATACAAGAAAATTTTGATTATTAAAAAAATTTAATACCTAAACACTAACCTTAACCCCTTATTCATAGTTAGCGCTAATTCGTGGTAAAAAGCCGCTAATTCGAGCTAACTGTGAATGCAGGGAAATCCGGACCTTGGATTAACTCAACATTAAATCTAATTATAATATTAAAGATAATATTTATATTGTTTCTCGTAAAAGTTGCTTGGTTCATAATGAATTATAACCTTTCTATTATATATAGCCGCAAAAACACATGATGATTAAAAATGGTAAATTAGGTTTAAAAAAATTCAACCAATCATAATTTACTATTTTAGGAATGAATGGGTAGGATAGGCAACTATCCCCTGCATTCTAATAATGCAAAGTATCTTATTTTTATTATAAGAAGCTTACCAAGCCTTAACCTTGATCTGAACTTCGTATTTTCCAACCAAGGGTGTAGGGACTTCCTTTAGAATGTAAACTTTACTACCACCGAATCCTGTCTGAAATATAGCTTTGTGAGTTTTACCATTTGTCGCACGATCTCCCCCCTCCAGCTTATATATAGCAGTTTCCGATACATCATCATCGTCCGCCATTTTAGATCATATATTTCTTTTCCGTTGAATTTCTACGATTAATAAGTTTTGGACTACTAATCTAGATAAATATCGCGTAAGCAAAAATTAGGATAAAATAAAATGGTGGTTGATATTAAAAAATAATTTAAAATATAAGGCTGCATCCTAATTGGTCATAAATATTTGTCTGAATTAGAATGTGATTTTTTAGATTTAAAAAAATAAATAGGATAAGTTTACGACTTTATTATTTCATTCCGAAATTTTTATGTTATTTTTAAAACCTAGAGAATTCTTTTAAATTCCTTTCTCTTTCCATTTGAAATTGTCATAACTGTTGGTTCGTGTAATTATATTTAACTCTTTTTTCTATTTTATATTATAGTCTGCTTCTATATTATAGTCTGTTTCTATATTATAGTTTGCTTCTATATTTAGAATTTTAAAATTAAGATGCCATCATGCGTATATTATTTTTAAATATTAATTATCATCTATAAATGCGTAGTAAATTGGAAAGGTGGAAAGTTCATACATACATAACTATAATTCTTATTCGTTATAATAGTTTTAGATCGTCTTTCGCTTCATTTATTATGAGTGCACTTTGCCCAAGCGATGCGTAATCAATCACCGCGTAATTTACAAAAGCAAACCAATAAAAATATAACTTATAAATCGCGACAGCTGTTTACCTATATTTAAAATAATATCAAAGCGATGACGAATTAACTTTAATTTCGCATCGCAGTAAAGATCGCGTTTAATATAAATGAGGCGGAAAGAAAAAATTTTTACAGCTGGAATATCCTGTGTGAGAATATGCCGAAGGAAATTTAATTCTGTGAAAAATATTATGAAACCAAAAAGAAGACAGAAGATAAACTAATAAGACTTGGATAAAAGTTGTTCCAGAAAATATTTAAATCTTTCTTTTCTATACAGTTGGAAGATGGGCTTCCATGGGGTCATTCGTTTTTGTTTTTGAAAAGTAAAATAAAATAAAACAAGTATTTAATTTTTTTTAAGATAAAAAATGAATTTATATTTAGGAAGAGATTTTAGGCAGACAAACGTAACAGAAGAAGAAGATTTATAAAAAAGAAAGGCATATAATATATTTAAAAAAAAACATTTTAGATCTAGACAGTATAACAGAAGAAAAAGGATTTTAAAAAGGCCTTCAAATGTAACGGGAAACTTTATGAAAATATCTAAAATATCGTTCATTTTTTAGTGACTATATAAATTAATAATATCTAACGCTTCATTTATAGTGAATGCAGTATTTAATGCGACGCTATCTACAAAATCAAGATGATAAAAGTTATAAATATGAAGCGAAACGTTGGAAACGCTATGATAAAATTTGTAAAAACATATGTTGAGATGTATATTTCAAAAATTATTATCGCTCTGAAGAATCAACTGTGATTTCTATAACGCTAAATACCGAAGCGCATTCATAATAAATTTATGTACCAAAATGCGTTATAAATGATTAAATGTACAAAATCGGGTGAAAAGTTAGAACCCAAGACTGAGTATAGTTTAGTGCTATAAATTAGATTCCGCCGTTCTTGGAATCGGGTGGAATAGTTAAAAGTGGAGGACCATTATAAAAACAAATGTGTGCTGAAAAAAAAAAAATTTTCAAAATTTAGAAGCATTTAAAAAATAAATTTATAAGAATTGGGTAAATTTTAAAAAAAATTTATGATTTTTTAAATTTAAAATTAATGGAATGCAAAAATGGCTCAATTTTTTAAGAAGTGTAACCCAATATTTTAGCCAAAAAGAAAAATTACTCAACCCTGGAAATTTCGCTCATAGATGGTATATAATTTTCGAACACCTTTAACAAAATTTCTAGAGTTGTTAAACTACCGAATTTTTTTTAAAAACGGCTGACCCATATTAAAATATTACTCAAGCCTGGAAATTTTCCTCATAACATAAATATTTATGAGTAAAATATTGGGTTAGCCGTTTTATAAAAATCGGGACATTTAGCCCTACTAATATCGAGGCTTGTGTAAATACTATTTTGGCTAAAATCTTGCTTTAAAACATTGGCAAAATCGAGCCTTTTTAACAAATATTAAGTGTAACACATATCACAGGCGTTGGATTTGTAATATAAAGTACAATGTGATAGAAGGACACTAGAATATCAATTTAACATTTTTGATCAAATCAATAACTAATCAAAATCGCATGAAAATATTGCAATTATAATCTAATTTTTATTTTTAAAAAAAAACACCATAAATTTTACCTTGTATTGAATATTTTGTAAATTTAATTAGCCAATTTTTTCTTTTATTTTAGAAAAAAAATTTATTTTTTTAAAAAAAAACCAATAAATCGTCATATGACAGGAAAAAAAAGTATTGATTTTCGTATTTTGTTTTTAGCGCAGCTTCTTCTCTCTTTAAAATGTAATGAATAAATATAATGATAATTAAAAAAAAATATAAAATATTATTATTATAATAAATTCGAGTATATAATAAATTACAATAAAAAAACATTTTAGGGGTTTTCTTACTCTGCTGCGTCAAGATCTATAAAATCTGTATAGCTTTTCTGATTTAGAATAGGGAGTTAATTCAGAATTGGGGACTTTCTAATAATTAAATAGGAGTAAATGGTTTTTTAATTGAATGAGGCGAATAGCCAAAAATCTGTTTCAAGGATGAGGAGAGGGAGGGGACTTGTATATCTGGGAGTGAATTTTTTTTTAAATTTAAAATTCCGCGAAACAAAAAACTTATTTATAAATAAAATTAAAAAAAAAAAATGACAAAATAAAAATAAGAGTTTTTGTTAATTGGGAAATAATCTATTGAATTGAATAGATTGCTCATCTGAATACAGATTTTGCCTATTCTATCATTTATAAATAAATAGAATTTGAATCTTCTTAGCCAATGCTTTCATTTTTTTTTAGAAAAAATAATTTTCTCTGTAATAGGGGGTAAAGTGTTAACCATTCAATCCACATTCATATGTATTTATATTGTAATTTTAATATGTTTCCATTCTACTTAGTGGTGACAAAAATTCTCTAATTTTCAGAATGGCAATATACAATAATTTTATTAGTTAGCCAAAAAAAAATCAGGGATAAGAGTTTTCATAAAATTTCTTAGGAATATTCAACGTTAATCTTCCATATAATTTAAATTCTATAAGTAGTGCAATTTCATAAATTATATATGGGAATAAAATTGTCCATCTCCTATACGTCCTACCCTATCCCCTATATAAACAAAAATGAGGAAATTAAAATCAAAATTAGCAATAAATAAATAAATTCATATCAAAATTACCATCCTGCCCCACCTCACTTTTATTTACCCCTTACCTCTTATATCTTTATTCAAATGATGATAGCATCCTACAACTACCAACCTCTTTCAATATGGGGTAGCGTGATAACCCCCCCCCCCCCCCGGGTAAGCCATGAATGCTTACCGCTTATTTTATTATTGTTAGCAACAATAACGTACTCAAGATAATAAATATGACTTGATTACCTTAGGTTAATTAAGCAAGTCATCATATTCCTAAATATTACCATTTTATAAGCCTTTCTTTTAAACTTATACATTATATTAATTTATCTTGTTCTTATCCACCATGTTCATTTTCCAGCTAACTCAAAAAAAAAAAATTAACATTGGCCCAAAATCGGAAATTTTTTAGTCATATTTATGACTAAAATTTAAATGTACTGACTGCTGACTACTAATCATCACAACAACTCCACTACCTTTCAACTATTATTAAACTGGGTATTTAAAAGAAATAAATATCTCAATAAGGCCTCTCTCTCTCCACATAAACTTGAGGCCAAATTGCCGATTTCGCGTAGCAGCATAAACCTATTTGAGGAAATTTTTGCTTCCTTATTTCTCCTCTCTGCAGAAACTATATATGAAAAGATATGATAATAATAATAATCAAGGTATTATCTACACCAAGTACTCCTTTTCAGGCACGTGGAACGTAACGTTTCGATGAAACCTAGTATTCTGAAAGCGGAACGGGAACGGTGATTCCGCATCGTACCAAGAAACGATATAAAAATTTTATATAATTACAACTAAAATATTCAAAAATGACGATGGCTTAGTACGTTTTCCTTTTTTTTCAAAAATATTAGAAATTGCTTCACATAACAATACTATTTTCCTCTTTAGTTTTATATGTGATTAAGATTGGGAAAACTTTTTTAAAAACTAATTGTAATAGTATTAAATTATATTAATCAGAGACATGCAGACCCAGCCCTAAGCCCGGCTTGGATACACGGGCCGGGCCTGAAATTTATTTATTTTAATATCCAGGCCGAGCCGGACCTTGCAAATGGTACCTCTGCAGGTCTCCGATATTAATATGATAAAAAAAACCTTATAAATTTCAATAGACTACAAAATTTGTTTTCCAAGTTAAATGTTTAAAAGTTGGTCTTCGCGCGCTCAAATTTATATTTACTTACACCCACTGTTTAATGGGATAATATAATTAATGGTCGGGTGTAAATAATTGAATTAAATTATGAAGGACTATTTGTATATTAATATATATAAAAAATATTTCTGGAATATGTTTCGAAATTTGGAACAGGAAGTCTATATTTTGGGCTGAAACGGGGACAAAAGAGGAACTCAAAAATTGCTTTTCTCCGGATACCACCTTTTTACCAATAAATAATCTGCTCCTAGGTTGAAAACAATTCGAAAAATAATAAATTTAAAAATTTACATAATATTTTTAAATGGTGAACCCCAATTAAAATCGATAAAAATAGAATATTTTCCACCCGCCCTCCTCCTGATATCTTTTTTTTTACATCAATAGAAGAAGCACAATGAGTTACCGATAATTTTTAATAGATATTTTTTTTTTAAATGGATAAAATAATTAGTAAATAGGATATTAGCATTTTGCAAACTTTACATTTAATTATGTTTATATGAATGATATGATTATAAGGAGACGTCACAATTGAATGAAAATTATAAAAAATATAAAAAACCACTATAAAAAAATAAACAACATAAATAAAAATTATTCTAAATTATTGTTGCTGACGATTAGGGTCCATTCGCTTCGAATAAGTTGAATCGAATAGTAAATTTCGTTCTGTTCGAATACAAATTATTCGATTCGAATAAAACAAATAATCCGAATAATCGACGAATTATTATAATAACTCATATATTCTACTAATTAGTTGTATTCGAATTATTTGATCGAATATTTGAATATTTCGGAATAATAATTGTTTTTTTTAAAAAAAATGAAATTTAATCATTTGTGATTTCATCTATCGTCAATCTAATGGGTAATGTGATTAACAAGGTATATATATTTATATAGTATATGCATATATACATAAACGGCTTGTGAAAGGTTTTTCTTCTAGTTGAAACCTCATAAATCTCGTGTCATATACAAAGAAGAAATAATAGGAAAAACTTTTTAGTTTTTACCTTAAAAATTGGTTTAGCATTATAAATTAATATTAATATGTAGTGTATTACTGTAAAGTAGCGTCGTTACTAAGCCATTCGTTACCTTCTTCTAGAGGTAACGAACGAGTAAAGGTAACGTGTTTTTTTTTGAGTAATGGTAACGCTATTTCAAATTTTTCTTAAGAAATAACAATTGTATTATCAAATTACTTTTATTTATTTTTTAAATTTTATAAATAATTTAACCCGAGTTTTTAATTTCACATCAACCACCAAATTTCTTCATTTTTATTTTAAATTTTAGTTGTTAAATTTTCAGTCAAGATTGTTTAATCTAATTAATATTGAATCAATTAATGTATGTAAATTTATTTATTATAATTATTTACTTTATAAAGAATATTATGTCAATTGTACATTTTCTCCAGTTGAAGATGAATAACCCCAATATGAAACATTTTTTACACCAATAAGGAAAACTAAGGGTAGGGGAAATGTGCCATAAATGGCCATGTGTGAAGACTGGCCACCACTATTTAACATTTTATCTATTGGACCAATTCTCAAAATTGGTCAAAATGTGTATATTTATGATATGTACCTTACCTAAGTTCACTTATTAAATAGAGCAATTCAATAAAAAAATATTTCAAATAAATTGTTTTTAGTACCTCTTTTGGAAAAATCACCTTACACATTTTTTTGTTTGGTGAAAAAATTCCTAATTTAGATTACTGATATTTTTTATAAATATTATCCTTAGGCATTTAGTAGCATTATTCACACAAAAAATTAGACTTTAAAAACTTTATTTAATAGACATATAAGGCGCTTAATAATAATAGAGAGGTGTGAGTATTGACTGGCCATGTATTGATTGGCCACAATTCGTACATTCACAATTCTTATTAAAATGAAAAGCTCTTGCAAATCAACATTTGGTGAAATAAAATGATGAACAAGCTTAAGAATGTTTAGTAAAATGCTAATTAAGATATTAATTTATAATATTATCATTAAATAGATGTGGTAATAAATTGAGATTTAAATACTAATTGACTAAAAAATGTAGAAATATCAATATAGGTCTTTTACAAGTATTTCATATTGTATTATTTCATATTTATAATAAAATTCTTAAATACTGTATTATGGCCAGTTAACACATAGTATATGGCCAGAAAAACAACTTTCACATAATCTCATTTAGCTCATAAAGTATTATACATAGAGCTTTGATTAAAATTTTATTTTAAAGATTAATATTTAGGCTACACATTGATATAAAATTTGTTTGGTTAAACATAAATTTTAATATCTCTTTTTCAAAAAAGCAAAAACATGGTCATTCATGGCACATTTCCCCTACAAAGTTACACTTTGTCAGTGTAAATTGTGTCCCAACTCAAATAATTCAACCTCAATTGTGGAACAAACATGGGCATCCTCCAAACTGTACAGCTATTTTTAAGGAAAAAATGGGATATCGGATTAAACTGGTTATGACAAGATGGGAACTCTTTCTATAACTCCGTGAAATTAATAAAGTCTTATTAAGGAGAATTGCACAAATTTGACGAATCTTGTGATATATCCAAATTACAGAGATTTTCAGTCAATGAAAAGTCGTTGATTGGTAAATATGGCATGGCTATATATATGATTTTATACCGCTCTTTCGATTTTATAGAGAGAATAAAAAATGAATTTGGAAATTTTACTCCTACCATAACTATTATAATAATAAAAAAAATGGCTTTAAATAATTTCATTTAGTAAACTATTTATTAATACAATTCTACAAGACAAAGACATTTGAAGGTATTGTTTACAATTTATATTTTGTTAATCTTACTTCAATTGAATATATAATATCGGTAATAATTAATCCACTATTTAAATCAG